ATAAACTCCTTCGCCCTCCAATTGTATGTATTTTTTTTTTTTTTTTTTTTTTTTTTTTTTGGTACCGGGAATTGAACTCGGGTCCTTGCGCTTGCAAGGCAGGACAGCGAACCGCTGAGCTAAGTCCCCGGCCCCATCTTCTTTTAAAAGTAGAGAAATTTCATAGTTTCTAAGTCATTCTCTTTATGGCCTTTCAAGTTAACAGCACTAATCACACATTAGTCACAAAACATGTTTGTGTAGAGCTTAAAGCATAATATTGCAGACATTAGGACTGATGGACAGAAGAAATAAGTTTTGCTGTCAGAATGGTAGAGGTGAGAGAAAACCATTTAACACAGTAGCAATGTGAAATGCATTTGGTAATAAAATCATTCTGCAAGTCAATTACCAGCTCCTGAGCCCACTGCTCTACATAAAGTCAGCTGTATGAGATACAATTTTCTTTTTCTTACAGGCTTATTTTGCTGATGGCAATAAGGTAAGCACATTTTACATGGAGTATACTTTTTCAAGTTTCTACATTCTAACCGTCAGCATCCACAAACTTATGTGAAACCTATTTTTTGTTTTTTCCTTCTTCCTTGCCCACCTTCTCTGTTCCATCTCATCCTCTCCTCTCCCCAAAAGCAACAAGATCGTGAACCTGTGTTTTCAGAAGAACTGGGGCTTGCGATAGAGAAACTGAAGGATGGATTCACACTCCAGGGACTTTGGGAAGTGATGAGTTGATCTTGAGTTGAACTGGATTTCAGTTTAGAGCTATCTCGAGAACAAAGATGCTAGTCACCTGCCGTAAGGCATGGAATGGTTTTTATATTTACAGCTTTTATATTTAAAGCTTTTCTGAGATTTTTAATGATTGAAGAAAAAGTCATTTAAAATGCCTGTTTTCTAAAAATTATATGTAAAATAGTAATTGAAATGTATGTAGTTCGTAAATGTTAATTCTTTACCTAAAAGCTGTAAAGCATTAGTTTTCAGACTATTAAATGACTGTAAGATGTTGAGTTTAATAAAGAAATTATGCAGCACCATTGTTTTGGAATAAGTAAAATATTCTAACTTAATTATAAAAATCTGGTTTGAATACATTACCACATATCTTCGAACGTAAGCCAACTCTTAATACAAAGGACAGTATTTAAACATCATTTTAGGGGATCATTTTTGTAAAACATTTTAACTATGGTATGTATCCCTCTGTAATGCTTTAGATGCTAGTTTGTAAATAACTTCAATGTAATTTTGGCAAGAATACACTTCTGTAAAGAAGTATAGTTTCGTTCCTTTATTAATTTTATCCTGTTTTTAATGAAACTTCTTTGAGGTGTTCAAAAATAATATAGTATTTTTCTGATTTCTTAAGTAGGTAAAATTCTATGACCTCCGGTATCATTCCATACTTTTGGCTACTGCTTAAGTGTCAGAAGCATTGTACAGAACCTTTGTGAAATAACTGAAATTAGCAAAGGGAGCCCTCTTTCTCTAATGGCAAAAGAATGTATATAAAACATTTTAAAGATACATAACCATATGTACAACCATATGCATCATTCAACCTTCTGCTAATCTGTTTAAAACAAAAGCTACAAGTGGGGTTTCCTCTATTTTTTTTGGTACTGGAGATGGAACTTGGGACCTTTCGCTTGCAAGGCAGGCGTGGTACCACCAAGCTAAATCCCTGGCCCTTCCTCATTTAAATGCTAAAGGATCTCTACATTTTAAAGACAGTTATAACAACCTATATTAGCGGGTCACAAATAAAATAGTGCCATAAATATTCTTTACTGATTTTCAAGCAAGAGACTTCAGCAAATTGCCAGCCAGTAAGAAATAATCTCAAATGTCATCTCTTGGCGTTCGCATCTGACTCACTAATCTTTTCAAATGTTAGGTGTTACATGTAGAGAGAAATGAGTCATTTATTGTTTTAACCAAGGAGCAGCTGTTAGTTTTTTCTAGCATGTTAAAACCTTTAGTGACATTTATAAATGGAAAAAGAATCAGTGAGCTCTTCTTTCAGCTGTTGTTTTAGCAACTGACAGTACCATTGACTTCATTGTGATGTAAAATAAAAGAAAAAAAACCTTTACTCATTAATGGAGACCTTGATGTTTAGAAATACATGATGCCCTGATTGGGACAATTTATGGAGCACTCACTCTGTGAAAGATAGCACTTAATAGCTCAAAGAAAAAAAACCTCTGTCTTCAAGGGGCTTATGTTATTTTGGACACAGTTAAGAATACTAACCCCCCCACACAAAAGTACACCAACCCTTGAAATTACAGTATTTCTGCAGCACCTCTGGGTTCAGAAAATGATCATGTAATAAACTTCTGTAAAAAATATATTACCTGTATATACAAAAAATCAATTCTTTCAAAAGACTTTCATATTTCATAATTAATATGGTATCCTATTGTAATCAACAGTTACGATCCCCATTATATGTTTTGTTTGGGGCTTTTTTGGGGGGGGTTATTCATTTGGCTTTTGTTTGGTTTTGTTTGGTACCAGGGATTGAACTCAGGACCTTGCTCTTGCGAAGCAGGCAACGGAACCACTGAGCTAAATCCCCAGCCCTGTTTTTTGAGACAGGCTGGCCTTGAACTCACTGTGTACCTCAGATTGGCTTCAAAGCAGCAATGATCCTCCTGCCTCAGCCTCCCAAGTGCTGGGATTACAGGTGTGGACCACCATCCTGGCTAATTAAAAAGAAAAATAAGGCCTGTTTTCCAAATTATACAGCTAATATAGCACTTCTGATTTTGTTGGGTTCTGATGATAACATTGTCTTCATAGGATTAGTTCTGTCTTTAACTTTAATAAAAGATAATGTTCAGCCCTTAAAATTGCAGAATCTCTTTAGTGATCATATTTGTATGAGTGTGGATCTTTTCCTCCCTAGTGTTGACTTTTAGGTACTTTTTTCTGGTCTTGATTCCTTCACATTTTTTGCCTTTACTCGTTCTCATTATTGTTTGCCATGTCAAATCCTTTATTCAACAAGGCAGGATATAAAAAAGGAATTTTATAACTTAACTTAGTACTAATTATAGTTTTCTTAGTTAAGAATAGAGGTGAATTAGAATGTCTTAGGGAATCAGCAGTTTCTCTACATTTATTTCACTTCTGGTGGAGAATTATCACTTCAAAGTTTTTATAAAGCTATAATCATAGTATATAAAATAAGCTACAAGTAAACATTTAATTTCCCACACTTCCAAGAGAAGTAGGGTAAAAAGTAAACATTTGTGTAACAGTTGTTGGAAAGAGGATTTTGGTTATGAGAAGTCACCTCATTCTTGTCTTTTGCATCAATTCAGGGAACCAAGTAGTTTACCATGGACCATTTTTAGAGGGGTGACTCATTTTTATGATTCATTTTTCTGTTCAATAAACATTTTCTCATAGTTGCCTTTATAAGCATATCTTCTAGTGCTTTATGTATTTTAAAGCGTTGTCCCACATCATTTAAATGTTTCTTAGCTATTTCCTTAGTGATTAAAAGTTCCAGTTGTTACTTTCAATCTATAACAGCTGCAAGAGTAACTCCTCTTTCCAAACCAGCTCTCCTAAATTCCCGCTGTTCAAGTTGGTGTCTATATTTAGCCGGTGGGATTAAATTGCAAAGGCTTCAAGCTGGGCAAAGCACACTGATCTGCCTTTTTCAGCTAGATCCTTGTGCTGCAAGGAGCTAAGGCCTTCAGTGTCCCCTTCCTTACCCAGGTCACCCACAAAATGGATTCCCAGCGGGAACTTGCAGAGGAACTGCGGCTTTACCAATCCACCCTTCTTCAGGATGGTCTAAAAGATCTCCTGGATGAGAAAAAATTCATCGATTGCACCCTAAAAGCGGGTGACAAAAGTCTTCCTTGCCACAGATTGATACTCTCAGCTTGTAGTCCTTACTTCCGTGAGTATTTCTTATCTGAAATTGCCGAGGAGAAGAAAAAGGAGGTGGTACTGGATAATGTGGATCCTGCTGTGCTTGATCTGATCATCAAATACCTGTACTCCGCCAGTATAGATCTCAACGATGGAAATGTGCAAGATATTTTTGCACTCGCCAGCCGCTTTCAGATCCCTTCGGTGTTCACCGTCTGCGTTTCCTATCTTCAGAAGAGGTTGGCTCCTGGTAACTGTCTCGCCATCCTGAGACTAGGGCTTCTTCTTGACTGCCCCAGACTCGCCATTTCTGCCCGGGAGTTTGTGTCTGATCGCTTCGTACAGATTTGTAAGGAGGAGGACTTCATGCAGCTGTCTCCACAGGAACTGATCTCGGTCATTTCAAACGACAGTCTAAATGTAGAAAAGGAAGAAACAGTATTTGAGGCAGTGATGAAATGGGTGCGAACAGACAAGGAGAACAGGGTTAAAAACTTTAGCGAAGTGTTTGATTGCATCCGTTTCCGCCTTATGACAGAAAAATATTTTAAAGATCACGTTGAGAAAGATGACATAATTAAAAGCAACCCCGAAGTCCAGAAAAAAATCAAAGTTTTAAAAGATGCTTTTGCAGGCAAACTCCCAGAGCCTAGCAAAAATGCAGAGAAGGCGGGGCCCGGCGAGGTGAACGGGGATGTCGGTGACGAAGACTTACTTCCGGGTTACCTGAACGACATCCCCAGGCACGGCATGTTCGTCAAGGACCTCATCCTCCTGGTGAATGACACGGCCGCCGTGGCTTACGACCCCACTGAGAACGAGTGCTACCTCACTGCCCTGGCCGAGCAGATCCCCAGAAACCATTCCAGCATCGTTACCCAGCAGAATCAGGTCTATGTGGTCGGAGGGCTGTATGTAGACGAGGAAAATAAGGATCAGCCTCTGCAGTCGTACTTTTTCCAGGTAAGAAAGGCTCTTGGGGCGAGGAGGGGCAGAAAGGGAAGGACGTTTGCACCATCCAGTTGATTCGTTTGTGAATTCTTTAAGCTGCTTGCATTTTACCAGAACTGATGTCCCGCTGTAGTCCCCTGTGCTTGTACTCCTGAGAGGGCTGACAGATATTTAGTTTGACTGCTTGTTAGTATTTAATAAAAGGTTTGGTGAATATTCTAATTAATATATAACTCATGACTCAAGATTTTCTTTGTACTCTTTTACCCACAATATCATGTTTAGAGTGGTTGATAATCATTCAAAGTCAGTATTTTAGTAAAATCTAATCTTGTACACTCTTACCTGAAAAATAGATTAATATCTATATCTAAATCCAATTATTTCCTCCCCAGATCAAAGTACTTTACACATTACAAAAAAGTAACGATCCGATTTTCTTTTTTTTTCTTTTAGTTTGACGTTCTCAGAAGTAGCATTTCATCTCTTATGGCTTCTGCCTAAAATATTATTTTGCTGAAAATGAAAAGAACACGTGTACATATTCTGTACCCTTGAGGGAACTTTGTCTGTACAAGTGTCACTAATTTGAACTAATTACAGTTGGAGGTTTTTGTTTATAGACTACCACATTATTTGGATCAGAGGTATAGTCAGACATTATTACAACTTAATCTGTTTTGTGAACCACACACAGGACTTTCCAGGAAAACAAATCATCTTTTGTAGTTTGTTTGAAGGGTGTTTGTTTCATATTTTCAATGTATTCATTTCTGAAGGAATCAGTGCCTTAATCTGTGCAGTGCCAGTACCAATCCTGCAGAGCTTACGCGTAGCTCAGAAGATTTTGTTTAGGTCATAGCTAATCATGGCCTTCGGCTCATGGGCACTTGAGTTGCAGAGGCCAAAGATATGACATGTAGAATGTCACACCGCAGTTATAATAGGCTCTCAAAGTGTCTGACATACCATTCATTCACAAAATACTACCTTTAAGCAGCTTTGTTTCATCTTGAAAAGTGTCATAATAATACATATAAACCATGCCTCTCAATTTTCAAAGCAGCAGTGAAAAATATCATAAGTATTTGAATTTGGCCCAGAAAAATCCCTAAGCCCTACTTTTAAATTCACATAAACTGTAGAAAGGGCAAATTAAAAAGAAAACAAAAATAGGGTGAGTGCAGTTAAAACAAAAAGATTATCAATATATTCAGAAAATAAAACTATCAAAGCACAGAAAGACAATAAATATAAATTATAGATCCAGGCCTGGGATTTAGCTCAGTGGCACTACGCCTGCCTTGCAAGCACAAGGTCCTGAGTTCGACCCCCGGTACCAAAAAAAAAAAAAAAAAAAAATTATAAGTCCAAAGAAGTTATAACCATAGAATATTTTCTGAAAACTCCTAGAGTTTGAAACTTCTGCTTTATATTTAATTTATGCATCTACAAGCCTGCCCTTTTGCTTACATTTTATTCTCTTCCATCCTATTCATCCCATTATTTTTATTGATACGGCAACTTACTTCTGGCTTAAAATATCTGCTTGAGGTTCTTTGAAGCTACTAAAGCAGTTATACAAAGTTGGATGGCCAACTCCTTGTTACTACTCATGTCTTGCCACTTTTTAAATAAAAAACTGTAGAACAAGCCAGGCGTGGTAGTGCACGCCTGTAATCCCAGCACACTGGAGGCTGAGGCAGGAGGACCACTGTGAGTTCAAGATCAGCCTGGGTTCCACAGAGAGTTCCAGGTCAGTCTCAACTACATAGTGAGACCCTGTCTCAAAAAGAAAACAAACAAAACGCAAAAGCAAAGAGAAAAACTGTAGAACAAGATGCCAAGATAAAAACATCTGACTGTGAAGGAGAGTTGTGACTCGCCAGAAAAATTTTGTATGAAGGGCTGGGAATGTAGCTTAGTGGTAGAGCGCCTGTCAGCGTGCATGAGGCCCTGAGTTTGATCATCAGCCCTGAAAAATAAAAACTGTATAAGAATTTGGGGTTTTGTAGTTTCCTGTTTGGTCACCTGTGTTTAAAATGTATTACTTTAGGAGTAATTTAACCTTTAATTGTATGCTGTAAATCAATGATGAGAATGTTTTGCCTTAGTAAGAAAAGTGTGGTATTTTCCTCCATTTAATTAATAGAACAGCACCTGGTTTTAAAGTACTCGGTCCAAATCCTATTTTAACAATGAGGGAAGTAGAAGCTGGAGGTTTACGTGGCTTGACAGCTCACTGTGAAAGGCTGGCAGAAGGCGCTCTACTCTGATCTACTGGTAAAAAGCACCCTGGCAGGGAGTGGGGCAGGGAGACCACACAGTCGTGTGAGAACCAAGCCTTCAAGTGTGGGATTATGATGGTTCCCTGTTCCACTTTTTAAAAACAAGCTATCACTTTAGATATCTTGGATTTGAATATCACTTTAGAGCTCTGTGAACTGGAGCAAATTATGTAAGCATTCTGTGCCTCAGCTTTCTAATTTAGGCCAAGTGTGGTTTGCACCCGTAATCCTAGCACTCAGAAGGCCGAGTCAGGAGGATGGGAGTTGGGCTAAATGGCAAAACCCTGTCTCAACTGCCTATCCTGGAGACTAAGTGAGATTACCTGTCTAATGCATTTTGCACAAAGCCTGACATACAGCCAAAGCTCCATAAATGTTTATTATTTTTCCCTATATTATAGACCACTTTTTTTTCAGTACTGGGGATGGAACCAAGGGCCTTGCCTGTGCTTGGCAAGGCCTCTGCCACTGAGCTACATCCTCACCTCCATAGCACTTTTTAATCAAAGAACTTTTTCCAAAAACAAAAACATTAGGGATCACAACTAGATGTTGAAATGAGTGAATCCAAAGCTCACACACACAGGGTTTAAACCCTCACACCACCTGGTCTTTGTGCTTTGTTTCACTGAGGTTGTGGACCAGATTTAGTGGCTTCCACAGACCTCTTCCCTCCTCAGCAGCCTCCTCAGTTCATAGATATTCTTGGTATCCAAAGAATCTCTATTTTATACATTTTTCTTGTGCAATCTACAAGTGGCACCAGAGAGAACAGATCTGCAGCTGCACGCAGAAAACCTTACTTGTTTCTTGGTGTCCTAAAATGCAAAGAGGAAAATCTTAAAATTACAAACAGCGAGGGCTATTGTGAATGCAAAATCCCCCCACCCCTGCACATGGGCACAGCAGGGCTGCTGCAGACTCTAGCCGTAGTAGCAACAAGTTGCTTCTCAACAAAATCAACTAGAGGGAGGATATTTCAACTGACACTAACACCTACCTGTAGCAAAATAATAAAGTCAAACAGGGAAACTAAAAAGGTGGAGAAGAATAAAGAAAGAGATTGCCTAACATCCAGCTGTCTGTGGACTGAGCGACAGGTCCAGCTGTCCCGGGCGTCAGCTTGGGAACACGTTAAATATAGCATTCAGGGATCACTCACACACCCTCCCTTGTGGTGACACCCTCTTTCCCCCGTGTCCTCAAAGCATTTTTCATTTTTAATTATAACTCTTAACACATCTTAACAGTATTATTAGCAAAGGTACTAATTCCTTATTTCAAAGCTGAACAGGACAACGGGAAACAAAATCTGTGTAACAACCTCTGGTCGTTCTATTTTACTCTCTCCTGAAGTCATGAAGATTTGGGTACTTTATATTTTAGTAGGCCAAGCAGATTTTTCTCTTTCTTCTTGTAATTCTGAACAATGATATAGTTGTTCAGGGTTGTAGTTTTACTTATGAGATCTTGACTATCTCAACAAATTATGAGCAACATTTAAAGTATAGCATACTTTTTGGTACACCTGTAAGTTTTTCCTACCAAGCTCCACAATCCCTCCTGTGTGTATTTCTTTTCAGCTTGATAACGTAGCATCTGAGTGGGTTGGACTTCCGCCTCTGCCTTCAGCCCGGTGTCTCTTCGGCCTGGGAGAGGTAGATGACAAAATCTATGTAGTTGCAGGCAAAGACCTTCAAACAGAGGCTTCGCTGGACTCAGTACTGTGCTATGACACCGGGTAAGTTGGCAGCACGGTGCTATTCCCTAAGCTGTCAGGGTGTGAGTACCTATGACATAGTGGTGTTGTTTTACTGAAAACATAAACTCTGTCATCATCTCATTTTAGGGCTGCAAAATGGAACGAAGTAAAAAATCTCCCTATCAAAGTGTATGGCCACAATGCTATTTCACATAATGGGATGATCTATTGTCTAGGCGGAAAGACAGATGACAAGTAAGTTCTCTGAAATCTCCTTGTGATTCGTGTTCAAGTCATTTTTTTATTATGAAGCTTTCTTCTTTTCATTTGACTCGACATACGGAAACGGGACTTAGAGCTCACCTATCGTATGTTCAAAATAAAGTTCTGAAAAGTTATCGAGAGATATCTTCCAAAGGAAAAGAATTAAATGTAGACATCGTTAAAGTAAACATGTGGATACCCAGCACACTGCTAGGAATGAGTATGATACCATGTGACATCTGAGCAGTCTGGTAGCCAAAGAGCAGCTCCGACGGGTGTGATCAGGTCTTTTATTTAGCTGGTTTATAGTTGTATTTTACTACATTAAGCCAATGGGCTTTCTTATTTTTTATCCATAATTAGATAAAAATTGAAATGTACTATTTACCATATTATTTAAAATATATCCATTAAAACAGTGGTGCACAGAAAATATTATTTGCTCTCTGCATTCATGAGAATTCAGAAAGTTCAGTTTGAAACCGAAAAGCACAGTGATTGAAAAGATGGCAGTTACCCTTCCACCTTGTGTCACTTATGTACTTCTTGGCAGAGGTGACGTTCGAAATAGGCGCTGTGAACCAGAACCAGCATCGGACATTTCCTGCCCTCCCGCCAGTCTCTTAATGAGAAAACCAAGAAGAGGTTTCATTTATCAACTTCACTTGAGTTCTGAGCACTTCTCAGGGGACAGGTAATTAGGAAAGAGGTCTTGCAACTCAGAGAGAGGAAACCTGAGTTCAGAGTGCTCCAGAAATCAATCCATCACACCAGGAGCAGGTCTGGTAAAATGAACACTTTCAAGCTGAACATAATGGCACACGCCTGTAGTCTCAGCATTCTGGGAGGCTGAGGCAGAAGGATAACAAGTCTGAACCTAGCCTCAGCAACTTAGTGACTTAGTGAGACTTGTCAAAAATAAAAGAATAACAGTGGCTGGAGATGTAGCTCAGTGTGAAGGCCCTGGGTTCAATCACCAGTACCAAAGGACCCCCACCCCAAACCAAACCACTTTCTGTCTCCATGGTGAGAACTAATCTCTGCCCCCGAAAACTGCCTGATTGGCCTTATCATTTGCCCAGGCTGTGTAATTAATACAGACATCCAGCCATGGAGAAGGAGATGAGATTATGAATTATGAGAGCATACTCCGGCATGGTGGCGTGTGCCTGGAGCCTCAGCTGTGTGGGAGGGTGTCACACGAAGAACACTTGTGCCCAAAAGTGTGAGAGCAGCCTGGGCAACATAGTGACACCCATCTCAAAAGCAAAACAAAACAGAAAAAACTAAGAAGAGGAAGAACTGCACGGACACAGCAGAAAGGAAGGTCAAACACGGAAATGTGTTAGAAGTAAAGAACTGTATTCTGCAGTCGATAACTAAAGGTTATTATTCAGTTAAAATGATAAACGTGGCAAAGAAGCGTGACTTTAAAAGCAGTGGTTTTATACAACATGTCCATATTAAAAGATAACATATTACAAAATTTTCTAACCCCACCACCACTTAATTGTTGATCTTTCCATCCAATGAATATTTAAAAGGAAGGTGTGGGCCCAGAAATTAGCTCAGTGGTTCCGCCACCTGCCTCATAAGCTCAAGGTCCTGAGTTCGATCCCCAGTACCAAAATTAATAAATTAAATTAAAAAAGGAAGGTGTATTACAAACCTACCCAGTGCCAAATCTTATTTTAGGCTTTTGCTTGTGCAAATGGAATGAATGAACTCTATTAAGCAGAGTCTGACTTTGGGAACAGTGGAACTCTGCCAAATGATTGAAGTTATTTCCTGCAAGCAGCATTAGTAACTAGGAAACTGATATGTCAGTAAGAGGCACACAGGTCTTGTCAGTAAGAATACATTAATCTTGAGAATATGATTACCAAGACAACACTGCTTGACAAATGTCAAAGTCGAAAACTCCGAAATGAGTCATTATCTAAAAGCAAAGTCTAAGGTTGTAGATCAGTAGTAGAACACTTAAAAAAAATAAAGGCTAAACTGACTAGCTAGCACTAATGTATTTCAAGAACTATGCTTTTATCAAGTTTTCCAGTGATAACCTGTATTAGCATGCCCGTTGCTGAGACACGACACCCACACACAGTGAAAGGAGCATAGGCCTGACGTGGCTCATGGTGTGGGGGTTCAGTCCACAGTTGGCTGGCTCCAAGGCAGGAGCATCCAGTGGAAGGGTGAGGTGCAGCGAAGGTGCTTAGTTCGTGGCACCTGGGAAATGGAACAGGGGGAGAGTGCAAGCCAGGAAGTGGGCCAGGAACTATATTTTAGAGATGATCAACATACACAATGAATGTTTAAATTAAAATTGTATTTATTTATTTATTTTTTTGGTACCGGGGATCCAACTTGGGTCCTTGCACTTGCAAGGCAGGCGGCGGAACCACTGCGCTAAATCCCTGGCCCTAAATTAAAATTTTATTACAAAAAAAGGACATATTGGCATTAGTCCTCCTCAAAATATTCCCCCGCACTGCAACATGCTTATCTATCATGCTTGACACTTTCTGGAGCAGTTCTGGAAGTTCTCCTTTATGAATTTATGAATGTCTCTATGAGGTATCATCAAAAATACTGTGAAGGCTGATGCCCAGAGCCATCCAACAGAAAGGCGGGCTTATAAAAACATTACAGTGTGTCTTCATCCACCAGATCTGGCACCTGTGACTCTGGCTCTTTCCCAAAATCAATATTTGAAGACCACGAAAGGTAAATGTTGAGAATTAACTCAGGCTATCGAGGCAGCCATGACAGTGCAACTAAAGACATTCACAAAAGAAAACATCCAGCACTGGTACAAAAAGCAGCAAAAGGCCAGGGATGTAGCTCAGTGATTCTGCTGCCTGCCTTGCAAGCGCAGGAGCCCGAGTTCAATCCTTGGTACAAAAA